CTCTCTCTCTCTCATTCTCTCTCAAATAAATAAAATCTTTTTTTAAAAAAAAGCAAAATCCAGTTATATGTTGCTTACAAAACATACAACTAAAACAAAATCACAAGGGTAAAAATGAAGGAATGAAAAAAACAACGTGCTATGTATGCAAATACTAAATAAAGGAAACCACACCTGCCCCTGAAGTCAGAGTAATCCTTTTAAAAATATGTACACATTCACAATTCTATAATGGACAACCTTCCAAGCTCTCTGTGATGTGGCTTCACATTACCTCTCAGACTTTTCTCTTCACACTCTCTTGCTCACTCTACCTACATCGGTGGTACTGGACTTCTTTCTGTTCCTTCAACATAGTCAAGCAAACTCCTACCTCAGAGCTTAAGCATTTTAGTTCTTTCTGCCTAGAGACTTCTTCCCCTATACATCCACATGGCTCACTCTCTCACTTCCTGTATTTGTCCCAACATCATCTTCCATAAGCTATCTATCGGTTGCAATCAGCACCTCCACTACCCTTTGTTCCTCCTTATCTTTCTGCTATTTACTACAATCTAACACACTGCATATTACCTACGTTATCTATCTTCCCCACTACCATGTAAATAACCTAAGAGTAGGAATTTTGCTCATTTTCTTCACTGCCATATCCCCAGTGTGTTTGATATCTTCTTTTAATTTCAAAAACACAAATATAACCTTAATATTTGTATATTCAGAGCAATTTTACACAGTTCTTGGCTTTAATCCTCACAATGATGCTACGGGTTTTAGATTCTCATTTCCATTTTATTTCGAAATTGAGAATAAGGTGGGTTTAATAATATGTCCAAGAACAGATACAAAATAAACAGCACAATCAAGACTTCAACACGTGACCTCCAGGGCTCTTTTCATTCTGTCAGAACTAAAGCACCACAGCTGAAGTTTAGCATCATAAAGCACGTATCAAGAACACGATTCTGGGATTGAAGCTATTTAATATGATGTCCATCCAATAAACCCAGTGCAAAGAAATGTATGAGATTCAGACCTCAGGACGTTCTCAGCACCTTGATGTGCCCTAAACTCTGTAAAGCTCTGTAAAGCCTACCACATGTGAACAATGGAGTCACCCCTTCCTCCAATGGAGGCTGGGAGGATGAGCACGGATATCCCACTGACACATATTTATACAATGTAGAGCCTGTTATAGAGAATATAGTCAATAATATTGTAATAATGTGGGACGCCTGGGTGGCTCAGTCGGTTAAGCGTCTGTCTTCAGCTCAGGTCATGATCCCAGGGTCCTGGGATTGAGTCCCACATCGGGCTCCTTGCTCAGCAGGGAGCCTGCTTCTCCCTCTGCCTGCCGCTCCCACTGCTTGTGCTTTCTCTCTCTCTCTTTAATAAATAAATAAAATCTTTAAAAAAAAAAAATATTGTAATAATGTTGTATGGCAACAGATGCTAACCACACTTGTGGAGAGCACTGCATAATGTACAGAATTGCCGAATCCCTATGTTGTATACCTAGTACACCTGCAAGTTAATGTAACATTGTATGACAACTATACTTCAATTTAAAAGCAGAACATTAGAAATTTTTTAAATGATGAAAAAAATTAGAGTTTGTTAAAGACTATGGGAGAAACACAATGCTCACCAGCTGACTCATTCTGTTAAATTGTAAAATCTTTTTTAGTCAGCTGATCCTTTGTCTATGCTATATGATAACCACCCCAACTTTAGAATCTCATAAAATTATGCAAACAACATAAAAACTAGGGCACTGAAAGAAAATACACCAAATGTATCCACATATACCCCAACAAATGAAGGAAGGACTTCCAGTTAAATGATTACTGTCTTAAAGTAGGTTTCAAACAAAAACGGAATTTTAACATCACTCACCTCAAGTATTTTATCTCCTGTTTTAAGAGCATTTGTTTTTCCTGCTGGACTGTCTTCTAAAACTTGTTTGATAAATATACCTTTAAGTTCCTCTCCATTCTTCAGGCGTTTTATAACAGTTTGTCCACCAACAATACTAATACCAAGAGACACATTGGGTTCCCTAAATATCTCAACACTGTAAAAAGAAAATAAATTCACTTACAAGCAAGTTAATATAATTTGTTGGACTGTCACTATAAGTGTTCGATTTGGACCATATTCTTATGACTCATATTTTATATGAATATATTTTTACAATTTTCGAAATTGTACCTAGTTCCAAAATTATAGGACATTATCAATCATTCATGGCACACGTGAAAGCTTGAATTTGGAAAAAGATTTCTAAAACAATAAATACACCCTCTTAATATTCAGAGATTTTGGTTGGCCTTAATGTTCCCATCTCCTACCACAACATATTTTCTATAATTAGTTCTTTAATTCTACATTCCTAACATCAGCAAAGAATGGATGAAGGAAATAACAAATGGGGGGGGCGAATCAAGAAAGTCGCATATTATCATTTTGGCAAAAAGCACAGACTTTCACAATAAAATAAATTTGCCACTAAAAGGCTTCTTGCCCAAGCTGCCTTTTTCAGTCAGCAGGTTTAACCTGTGCTTCTTTAAGTAGGGGACAGATTTTGCTCTTAAAGCTGGCAGGCTCTCTTTTCTTCCTACCTCCACATCACTTTTTAAAATAGAGTATGGAATAAAACTTGCCCTTCAAATGGTTATGAATTTTACCCAGACTGCAGATGTGGCCAATGATTAACTGAAATTAAAAAGTAGTTCAGAAAACAGCACCCAAGAGTCTTTAAGACAAAACACAGAAGTGCAAGAAGAAAACAGACCATGTGGGTGGGTACTGCGAGATTAATAATGCATGCAGAATAGAGCAGCTAAAGGAAGACTTTTATATTCTGTTAGCTCAAACAAGGCACACACTTGGACGAACACAAAAGGAGGATAGAGATAAATGAATACATGCTAGAAGCCTCAACTACTGTTGCTGTTATTTAAAAAAAAAAAAAAAAGGAAGAAATTTTACTGCATTCGAGGCAGTGATGCAATAATAAAGTATACCTAGTCCAGTGGTTACTATCATACATGGACATTTGTAAATTGCTTTTTCTGAAAAACTATGATAAAACTTTCCATTTAATGTTGACTATAGTCATTTTGCCTGGCTAAAAATCCCTAGATAAGATAAAACTAAAATTTAGGCCAGCCTACATGTGGAGGATGGCAATTTCTTAATCAGTACGTGTCCACATGACACTATGAAATTTAAGAACAACTGATTGTGTCCTCCTGAGAAAGCCAATAATGTCATCAACATACATTCTTGGTGGACCCCAGTGGCTGAAGTTTGGAGTTTCTTCTCCTTCACCTTCTTCTCTCTCAGGTAATTCACTGAGGGGAGAGAAAGGAAAAAACATGGTGATTAACATAACATAATAAAAAAAAAAAAAAGAAAAAACACACAACTTGTAAAACAGTGTTGTATTAAAGGCTCCTAGAAAGTTTCAAAATTAAACAATCTATATGTAGTTAAATATTCTTAATTTTTAAGCTTTTAAAATATTTATATCAATAAAATACATACATCAACCAGAACATTGTTTTAATGTTCAACTCAATAAATATCCACCTGTAACCAAAAAATCATAGAACTATTATAACCACTTTTATTGGTGACACTCTAGATGCAATTTTCTAAAAATCTGTGTTTGATTTGTACAATTTCACATTTGTTTTTCTATCAACATATAAAATATAGGAAATATATTCCTTCAAACTTGGTACTGATGGACCAGCAAAGAGAACACTCCAGCATAAACCAACATCAATAGCTGAAATGGCTAAACAGTTGGTAAGCACAGTCCCTCTTTCTAGATCTGTCACCCTGACCCTAAATAATTCCCTTGTCATTTGTATCCCATGAATGTTTTGTGTCATTATCCATCGCTCTGCAGTTTGCAGAGAGATTTACTTACATTAGATGTAATTCGATCCTCCCACCGACCACCACACTTTCACCCATCAAGTTATGTTAGTATGGAAATAACAACATAAAATGCTGAATTACAGAATACTTACATAGGTAAAGCTACTGAATAGGGTAGACACATTACAATACATTATCTAGAGGAGGAGTCAGGAGTCCTAAGCCTCAGTCTAACCTGCACCATGAAATGGGTGTGTGACTCTGGACCACCAAATGAGATAATAGGTCTGACAGTGTAAGTTGTATTACTCTACACAAAAATGTAGGCACTACCTCTTCCATTTCATGTTCACAAAAACCCTGTGAAGCAGCACTGCAGGTCATACTATTATATTTTCCACATGAGGACTGAGGCTCACAGAAGGCTCCTGCATAATCTCTTCACAGTATCCAAATCTATGTTGCAGCACTCAACGTCTCAATGCTGCATTTTTCTCTGAACTCTCAAGTAAGTCCCATAAAAAGTAACAAAACTCCACCTATTTGCTGCTTCTACAGACTTTCTAGGATATAATGGTTTAAGGCTGAGTGAGAAAGAGAAAACTGAAAGGATCTAGACAATCCAAAAATCAGTTAAGAAGTTGTGATCATGGGGTCCTGGGTGGCTCAGTCAGTTGAGCGTCTGCCTTCGGCTCAGGTCATGATCTCAGTCAGGGTCCTGGGATGGAGCCCTGCATGTGATTTCCCGCTCAGCGGGGAGTCTGCTTCTCCCTCCCTCTCTGCCCCTCGTTCTCTCTCTTGTAAATAAATAAAATCTTAAAAAAAAAAAAAAAAGGAACTGGGATCATCAGGGGCCATTAACATCTCACCCACTACCAGATGGCTTTCTTGCCTCAGACAGTGTATTTTTTATTATTAAAAGCATCACAATATTCAAGGAAAAAGAGCTTGGCAGATACTTGCCAATTACTTATCTAATGTCCTCTCCCTCCTTCCTTACCAACATAACCTCTCGTTTATTCCAGGTGGCACTATGCCCAGCTTTAAAGAAATACATTTTCTGGACTTCCTTTCAGCTAATGGTAACTGGGTGTTGTGTTCTGAAATGAAAGTAAAAGTCCCTAGAGACTTCCAGAAAAACCCATTAAATGGAGAGAGAATCATCTGAGCCTTTTTCTAGGACCTTCCCTTTCTTCTTGCCTAGAAGGCAGAGATGACATTGGTGGTGAAGCACCCATTTTAAAATCATGAAGAAACAATGACTAAACCAATACATTAAGAACAAAAGAGCAGAAAGAAGGTTTTTAAGACCCTGACAGATTGGGGCGCCTGGGTGGCTCAGTTGGTTAAGCGACTGCCTTCAGCTCAGGTCATGATCCTGGAGTCCTGGGATCGAGTCCCACATCGGGCTTCCTGCTCAGCAGGGAGTCTGCTTCTCCCTCTGACCCTCTTTCCCTCTCGTGCTTTCCCTCATTCTCTCTCAAATAAAATCTTTAAAAAAAAAAAAAAAAAGACCCTGACAGATCACCTTCTTCAGGGGTTTTACATTAAAAAATTTAAGCCCTGTTTGGGGGTGTTTGTTTATAAGCAGCTGAATGCAATCCCTAAATGATACCCATGATTCTACCAACTTAAGTCTTTATTTTATCATATCACATTGTTCTTTGCACATGTGCATATATGTTTGTTGGATAGTTGTGACAGCAGAAACTTCCATATTTTGATTACGCTATGTAATAGTAAGGATTAAATGATATATAACTGGCATTTAACTGAGGCTTAACATTCATTCCCTTTACAATTTTTTCATTTGAATTTGTATCAAAATTCTCCCCGTGTATTATAATCATTTTTTCATTTAATAGCATCTTAAGAGCCCATGCTATTGATGTAATTTATTTGCTATCCCAAATATGATACACTGAGATTATATCCTGGAATATGGACATTACTGCAAGGAATATCTTCATGCTCTGCTGTATTTTATTTTTTTATTATTTTTTAGATGTGTTTATTTTTTTATTTTAGAGAGAGAGCACATGCGAGCTGGCGGAGGGGGAGAGGGGGAGAGAGAATCCTCAAGTAGACTCCACACTGAGTTTGGAGCCCGATGCAGGGCTCAGTCACACGACCCTGAGATCATGACGTGAACCAAAATCAAGAGGCAGTGGCTTAACTGACTGAGCCACCCAGGCACCCCACTCTGTTGTATTTTAGAATTCCCCTTTAAATATAAATTGAAGATTACAATTAAAAATCCAAAAAACAAACCAACACTGAAACCTTCCTCCTCTCCATTTTCTACTTTCCTGTATCCCAAATCATAATAGGTTTGATAAGAAGCAGTAGCACTGAGCTTCTAGAACCCTTAAATTTCTCAAGTGACAAAGGTGATAGGATCATCTTTTGTTATTTATAACAAGCCCTTTTCAACCATACCTGAGTTTATTATGCTAGTAAGGGAACTTCTGGTGAGGCCCCAGATAGCTTCAGGACGGGGTCTGGTTGCCACAACAACAACCATATGATTAGTTAGAACTTTCAGTCTCACCCTCCTCTGGGAAGAGGAGAGGGGCTAGAGATGGAGTTCAATCACCAATGGCCAATGATGTAACCAATCATGCTCACATAATGAAACTTCCAGACTGGCACATACATCAAGGTATTGACGTACTGGCGAGGGGGAGGGGGTAGGAACGCACCCAGGAAATGCATGGAAGCTCTGGGTGCATCCTCCATACCTCCCCTCCATACCTTGCCCTATGCATCTCTTCCATTTAGCTATTTCTCAGTTGTATTCTTTATAATAAACCAGTAAGCGTAGGTAAAGCACTTTCCTAAGTTCTGTGAGCCATCCTAGCAAATCAAAGGTTTTGATCATCAAACCTGAGAAAGGGATCATGGGAACTCCCAATTTGTAGCTGGTTGGTCCGAAGTACAGCTAGCAACATGGGACTTGTGACAGGCATCTGAAGTCAGGACAGTCTTGTGGGACTAAGCCATTAGACTGTGCAATCAGCACTAACTCTGAGTAGCTAGTGTCAGAAGTGAACTGAATTTTAAGACACCAGTTAGTGTCCAGAGAATCAGTAGTTGGGCAGAGGGGAAAACTCACATATTTGGTGTCAGAAGGGTTGTGAGCAAAAACAGCTCGTAAGAGGCATTAAGAAAAAAAAAAAAAACCCACATAGGTATTTTTACTATGGTACAGGTATGCTACTATTACTCATTTTTTAGAAACCTAAAATAGAATGGAAACCAAGTTTTAACATTAGTATGGACGATTAGTTTCCCCATTTAAAAAAATGAAAACCAAAAATTTCCAAAAACAGCTGACTTTCACATACAACTAAGGGGGGAAAGAAAACACTGTCTAGAATATGCAAAATTTTAGTTTTGATAGTGTAACAAAAGGATTATTCTGTTGGAAGAAACTGACTTTTTCAAAGCATATTATATTTCTTTAGGAAGTTTACACATATTTTCTGCAGATTATTTCATACCTAGAGAGAGATTAAACTTGCAAATCTTAGGGGTACCTGGCTGGCTCAGTTGGGGGAGCATGTGACTCTTGATCTCAGGATTGTGAGTTCAAGCCCCACGTTGGTTGTGAAGATTACTTAAAAATAAAATCTTTAAAGTACAATAAACCCCCCCCCCAAAAAACCAAAACCATCTTGCAAAAGTTTATCTAGATGGTGTGATTTATTTTGGAAATACTATCACAAGAGATGAGCAACTATACAAACTAATGTGGTCACTGTACACTGATGAATGCATATCCTTTTAACCCAAATTAAAAATTAACTGAGAAAGTAAAATATTTTTACTGCACATATTAAGATCTAAATTTACACAAACATATTTAAAACTTTAACAAGGGTTTTCTGACCTCAAATTTTATAATTTGCACTGATTAAATATGGTCAGTACCTCAATCAGTTAGAATCTCATGTTAAAAGAAATGAAATTTACTTCTCACACTTTGATCCAGAGTTTTATAACCAATTTTCCCCAGAGGAATTAACCATCCAATAGAAACAGTGCTTTTTATTTTAGACCTTTATAACAAATGGACAAAGTTAACACTTTTACAGAACTGGGGGGAAAGGTAGACCACCCCATTAATGAACAAGTGGATACTAATGTAAGATTCGATGATATACAATCTCTAGGCAAATCAAATTTTCAGCATCATACAAAAATGAGAAGAATCAGATCTTTTCTTTCCAACATACCTTCTTTCATATAAAATTTCTACCTACTAAGTACTAAGCCAAAATGTGTGTCAAGTAAACTCCACACTCTAAAATGATGCAAGCAGGACGAGTTTTGGTTGTGACTAAACTATCTTGAGATTTTTTTTCCTCTTTAAATACAGATTCTATATGGTAAATTTGCATGACACACCACAGGAAACAGGACAATAGGCACTAGTGTTTTTCACACTAGTAGGGCTACTTAC